AGATATTAAATTTTTGGATTTAAAATCAAATAAATATAAGACAAGATATAACTCGTTTCTCAGGCATACGATAATAAGAAAACTCTAGGAATAGAATAGCCAGTCCTTAAGATAGCCTAGTCCTTAAGAGAGATATAAAGTAGAAGAAACTGCTGTCTACATTTAATAATAATACATATTTGTCTACCTAAGCAATTTGGCATATAAACATTTAGCATTATCAAGCATATATATTCATGGTAATCAGATTTAAGAATGCCTGTTTGTTTGTCTATATATCTGTTCGTAAGTCTGTCTGTATATCTATCTCTTTGTCTGTCTCCCTGTCAATTTCAAAGTCAGTCACCTTATCTGCCTAACAAAAGTAAGGGAAGATCGTTTCAGTTGCTCGGTAGTTCGGTATTTATATTTAAGTAAAACGAAGCAGCAGAGAGTGCTCTCGTTGGTCACTTTAAGCTCAACTGACACGATCTCTACCTGGCGTCGGGCCCAACATTTGAGCGCTACTTCGTGTTTGAGTAACAGTCGCCCTATATAAAGGGCAGCAGCTGAAGCATTTCTTTAATCGTTCCAGACCTGGTGAGGTGAGTCATGCAGTAAAGTGAAGTGCAGCTAAATGAAGTGAGGTGAATGCAAATATTTAATGATCGCTCAGCGAAACATTGGAGACTTGGGGAAATACTTGAGGAAATACTTGGAGAAAAATACGTAGAGCAAATACTTGAGAAGATACTTAGGAGAAATACTTGGAGGAATACTTGGAGGAAAGTTGTAAAGGAAATTCTAAGAGGAAATACTTGGTTGAGATGCTATATCAACGAAGAAATAAATCCATCCATCTGTCTATCGATTATGCCATTGATAACTCTACATCTATTTCTACATTTTTTTTAATTTTTACTTTTTTCTCTTTCAGCCTCAACTGCTTCTCAAAAGTCATTTTGGATGTAAAAGGACATCTAGGTCAATATACCTTCAACAGAAACTGCAAATTGAATGGAACGTATTTTAATTTAACTTCCATCTCAATGATCCTTTGAGATCTTGATCACTTTTTAGTTCGTAATGATATAAAAAATATATTATTTAAATATATACGCATAGCTTACGCTTAGCAAACAATGTGTTACACAGTAAAAACAATAAAATAAAAATCAAATATCTTTCCGAGCCGTTCTCAAGTTTCTCTTTGTTTTAATGCGCTGTTAATTAAGGCAATGGCTCAATAATTTTGATACAAAGCTCTATAAAGAATTCATTAGCTGCACACTTGAGTTTCGGGTTGAACTTTAGCCGCTGTTGCTGTGCTCTGGGGCCCCCAGCTTTAGCAAGTTTCAACTTTGCAGCTGGGCAGCAGCCCCAAGTCGATTAAAGCGCCTTCCAAGCAATTATTGTAAGTTTTTCGTTTCCATCTGTTTTCGGTTTCACTTTAAGTGCCGTCGCGTTGTTTTCAATTAAATGAACACCCCGTGCCGAGTCGAGGCAAGTCGAGTCGAGTCGATTCGAGTCGAGTGGATAGAGAGCTGACCTCCCAGCCGTCCCGTGAACCGTAACCCGCAGCCCGCAATCCGCAAGCCTCAATCCGCAAAACCCATGCAAAAAGGGCGAATTGGGAGCAGGAGTGAGCGCGTGACTGTTACACGCCCAAATCGTTGCTTTCATTATTACACAGCTCGCAAATACAAACAACGATGAAAATTGTTGCCGCAATATTGAAAATGCGGCAGTATTTGGTTCGGATTGGTTCTCTTCAACCTTCCCCCTCTCCCTCCCCACATCCATAAACACGCTGCTACTAAAAGTAGCTGCTGCCGCCCTGCATGGCCAACAAATTGAGCAACAAACCCTTGGCAACAACAACAACAACAACAACATAAACACCAACAATAACAACAACGACAATCGGCAGCAGATTAAGTTCATGCCATGTTGCAGTTACAGTTACAGATTTTCGCCATTTGCCTGACTTTATTTTATTCTTTTTTTTGCTTTTGTTTTTCTTGCTTTTTTCCTGATATTCATTTTTGCACATTTGCTGTGCTATAGCCCAAAACAAATGTTGCCCGCAACCGATTTTCACTACACACAGACACACACACACACACACACACCCCTACAGCCCCTTGACTTCAAAGCTGCCCCTAGCTACAAACTACGCCCCATTTGAAACACCCTTTGCGAGTCGCTTTTCCGTTCATTCCTTTTCAGGATCATTGGCAGCGGCTAACGGGGTATTTGCTGTATGTCTGTGTGTGTGTGTGTGTGCGTATGTGAGTGTGGGTTATCGTTTGCTGAAAATACGTCACAGCATTTGTTACACATTTTCGGGTCAATTTTTTATTGCATCCTATGTAAGCCAGGCCAGCCCGGGCTACGCCGCGCCAGCTCCCACTCGTGATTCTTGCTCACAGCTGTTGACTAGAGCCCCTTGCCACGCCCCCAGCTAGTGCTGCTGCTTCCCATGTGTCGTTGACACTGGCTTGTCTTTTTTCAATTAGAACGCGCTGGACTGTAAAATCGTAAACAGTTTTTGCCCAACCCCCCCGCGACCCTCGCTGTGATTACAACAAACAAAGAAACGTGCAAAATAACTGCAAATTAATTATGCACAACAAATGACGCGCTCGACCCCCTCACACACACACCCATACACACTTACACCCACGCACTTACACACACACACACAAATCCATGCCAGCTGCCCCTTAATTGTTGCTATAATTGTTCTGACCCCAACAAAGCCCCCCTAGAAGCCGCGCCCAGTCACGATTGTGTGCCTCATCAGCATAGACTCGAGTCGACTGCGACTGGCAGTACTCGAGGGCGGGGCTGGCAGCTGGGGGCTGAGGGTTGGTGTTGGGGTTGGGGATTGGGATTGAGATTGCTTATAGGCGCAGTCCAGAAGCCGTACCAAACAATGCGCGCTTGTGGTGGCGGTGGTCTCAGTCCGCTTTGCAAATGTCGACCGCAAATTAATTTACAACGTAAACTGCAAAATTGAAAATTATGTTGTAATTACTCAATTCTGACATTTTTCCCATTGACCCAAATTTATGGGGCCATGCCACACAGCCATAGCAGCAGCAACAGCAGCAGCAACAACAACAACAACAACAAGAATCTGAAGTTATCTCTGGATTGCCGAAGATTAAATACCTTTGCCATGGCTCAAGGCACATGAATGTTTCCCGTGAAATTCCATTGATAAACTCTAAACTCTGATTCGATAATAGTTGTTTGACATGATAATCTAATATTTGCAGTTTTAATTTTATATTTATAGGAAAACTAACAAAAAATAATAGGTGGAAATAGATTGTAATGAATAGCTAAACGCTGATAATAATTTATTAAAATTAACATTTGAATTTAAAAATGTATTGATATTTGTACTATAGTCTACAATAAATACTATACAGCATGCACCATTTAAGCTATAAATTTATAATACTCTCAGTTATCAAGGTATCGCAACAACAACAATAGCAAGCCAACAGCTAGCTCAACATTCACATCCACGGCTAGAATATCCCTGGCCTGGACTCTGTCTCCATCGTCGCTTTGTCCCCTTTCCCATTGTCATCCCCATTCTCCTGGCCGAACCTTTGTGCCAATTTAAATGCGTAATTATAACGAGTGCGAGCAGTTAGAGAGCGTTCTTGGCCTGCATATTAATTGTGTGCCAGGGGCAGGCGATAAGATGGCGAGGGGAATGGCAAAATCTATGCAGGCCAGCACAGACAATAGGAATTTTAATTAAGGATCAGCATGGGCAAAATTTATTTAAAGGTGTGCCGTAACAGGGTGGCTGGGGGGCGTTGCGGGTTGGGTGGGATTGTACTTGTTGGAACTTGACTTGGTAATCTGTGTGCATGTTTCAGGCATTTCTCAACTTCAGCGAATACCTCGAATGCTTCATGTGCCCTCGGTGCCAATTGAGCAGCCATTGAAAGTGGGCCGTTTGGCGAGTTGCCAATTAACTGTGGGTGTGCCACGAGTGTGCCAAACTCCGCAGTTAGGCACATCTATAGATTGGCCACAGTGATACAATTATTTGCCCGGCTGCCAAAGTGTCGCCGTCCTATGATACACTGTATTGAGCAAATGGATCGTCAGTTGTTTCCGTAGTGTAGCGGTTATCACGTGTGCTTCACACGCACAAGGTCCCCGGTTCGAACCCGGGCGGGAACAGGTTTAAATGTTTTTTTTTGAAACATAAATTTCGTGCTAGTGGATTTAATTTATTGTAATTTTTTTGAGCATATATTTATTTTAGAAAAAGTTTACTTGTTCAAAAATTTTAAATTGTGCTTGTTACTAATCTTGAATTGCTCTAAATCGATCGCAATCAGCTGTTTCCGTAGTGTAGCGGTTATCACGTGTGCTTCACACGCACAAGGTCCCCGGTTCGAACCCGGGCGGGAACAAAACTTTTTTTTTAGTTTAAAAAATTAAAATTCAATATTTAAAAGTTTTTTGCTTAAGTAAGCCATTATTATTATTATTTTTTTATATTTTAATCTAAATTTTACTCAATATCAATTATCCCATGCAACTACCAGCCGAAAAAACGCAAGCAAAACGCTAAACAATCGCTTCAAAAAGCTTTACAGAAACTTAACAGTAGCATAACACATTGCCATGCTAAACATATGATTATAATAGCAGTATGTACAAAAGCTTAAAGCTTCTTGGTAAAACAGCTGCAAGTCATGTTATTATATTGAATGTCATTAATACTGAATACAATTTTACAGTTGCTAAAATGATGGTGTGATTGTTTAATCATTAATTATGAAATAAAAAAGCCCCTTTTTCCATTTTCTATGTTACTATTTATTTTAATTTATTCATGACCTTTACTGACCCATCCAAAAAGAAATAGAAATAGAGAGCACCAGAGAGTGCAAAGCAGACGTTTGCTAGCTCACGCTTGCTCTCTTACGCAGCTCTTCCGATTTGTAAGAGAGAACTTTTTTAAGTGAGAAATATTGACTTACCACGCGTTTTATGCACAGAAAGCTTTCTACAAACAAATCGTAAAAGCTTTTTGCTAACACAATGCCGACAATACCAAAAACCAAACACAACTTTCCTTATCAGCGTTATAAACAAATAATTTTTGCAGCTGCCGCTTCCCGTTTATCTCAATACAGGAGTCCAATATTCTTATCGTTAAACTTTTACAAATTTCATTGAGAAATCATCAAACTAAAAAACAAAAAAACGCGCACACTGCCGGCAAAAGCACAAAACAAATCGCTGACGCGTCCGACAGCTGTGAGAACTTTGCGATAACTGAATACGAATTTTACGAGCGATTGAACTTGCCCCAAATATCCCTCCTCTACCCTCTGCAGCATTAGTCACAGCTGTTTTTGTTTATTTACTATACGCCTAGAGCCAAGTTTGAGGAATACGATTTCAGAATGAATAACAAAAATGATCGAGCTCATTTTTCCTAATATGAGCGTTGCGTTTTCAAGATATTTACAAGAAACCAAGCGTACGCTTATATCTTTTATATACACGAAATTGTGAAATACTAGCAATAAACTAAAACTGGTTATTTTGTGGAACATATTTGAGCTGTAGATATTTTACATTATATATTAATCCATAGATTTTATATTAGACAAAGACTTGATTTAGCTATACAAAAATCGTGTTTTATTTTGTCGTTTAAGATTAAATAATTTAAGTAACAAATGCTATACACAACAACGCGTAATGTGGTATACAAATTGTGCCTGTTGAGGGAGCTCATAAATATAGTATAAACAGTGTCAGGAGGAGAGAATTAAACGTACATAGACTAGCGCGTACATAAACCTAGCTAGAGTTACAACTAAGACGTCCGCCTAGTCCCGCGTGTGATCGCGTATCCAGTCCAGATACTCTGTGACCCGTGTGTAGACACCTGGATAGCCGGGCTCGCCGCACTTGTTGCCAAAGGAGACCACGCCCAGTTGCACCCAGTGCGAGTCGTAGCGCATCATCAGTGGGCCGCCAGAGTCGCCCTGTGAAAATAAAAGGTTCTTTAGTATGCTAAGATCTCCGAGGCTCTAGCGTAACCTACCTGACACGCATCAACTCCTCCGTCGGAGTAGCCGGCGCACAAGAAGTTCTCATTGATGGGCTGGAAGTAGCTGCGATCACAGTCCTCGTTCCGCCAGATGGGCAGCTCCGCCTGCCGCTGGCTGGTGGATTCCTTGCCGCCATAGTAGGTGGTGCCCCAGCCCACGACGGTGGCCCGACGTCCGGGCAAGCGTTCCTTGGGCGGCATTCGACCACCGCGAGGCAGACAAACGGGTATCACATACTTGGACTTGCGCACGGGCTTATCCAGCACGAGTATTGCTATGTCGTTATAGAAGCCAATGCGAGAGAAGCTGAAAGGAGTCGGACATCGGATTAGTTTGCTTCAACTTGAGAGCTTTGAGAGCATTTACCGTTCGTGTGTGCGCACCTCCTTGACGGCAAAGGTAACCGGATCGGAGGGCTCGGCATCTGTGGACAGATCTATGTCTCCTAAGCGTACGGTAAACTGACGTGCAGCAAACCTGAAAAGGAATCGGGATTGTATAAAAAATTAACAGGCAAATATATATTTGTAATCTGATCTTAATCTTAGACTACTTGTAGTCACAAAAATATAAAGGAATATAGCCGGGAGAGATAGAGAGTTAATTCCTTAACTATGTATATGAAATCAAGTAAAACCTTGAATATACCTTTATCAAACTGCTATTGGTGTCAAGTTTTTCTGAATTTAGATTTGCTTAACTTTTATAAATTATATTTAAACATTATCTCTTTAGCTTAATAAATCATATATAATTAATAGTATTTCACTAATTCTTTAAAATTGTTAACTAAGTTCATTTAATTAGCCAAGGCTCTTAAGGGAAAGCTTTACTGTGCTTTCTAATATCTCCCATCAGCTGTGGCATTATTAATCTTAAATCCAAAGCTTAAATATTAAACCAAATTCATTTCCAATAATCTATAATTTTCACTTACGGCTTTTGTCTGGAATCCCTGGTGCAATGCGCCGCGGTCAAGATGTACTTGGAGCCAATTAGGGATCCGCCGCACCAGAATTCGGTGCGCTTGGGACCATGCAGGAAGATGGCGGCCATCCAGGGCCACTGGCCATTGGGCGCCTCCACGCCGCCCACGATGCGACCACTCGAATACTCCTGTTGACCGCACTCATCGGGATCCACGATGTTGTTGGCTATCTCGTCCAGATTCTCTGGCTCCAGTGGCGACTCTGTGGTTGTGGTGGTTGGTGTTGTCGGCGGTTTCTTTTGGGGAATGAGCACCAGACTGGAGGTGGGCCTTGCCGTCGGTCGCTGTGTGGTGCGCTTGGTGGGTGCCAGTGTGGTTGTGCTTGCTGGCGTCCTGGTGGTCAGCTTCAGGGGACGCTGAGTCGTCAGCACCGTGGAGCTCTCAGAGGCGGATGTGGTCACGGGGCAACAGACGCCTGGCACAAAAAGGCTCTTGAAACAGAGCGACTCCCGCAGGCTGCTCAAGTTGAGAAGCAGGGCGGGGCAGCTGCTCAGATCTTCGCAGCGACCCGGTCTGCCGCTGGGCGTCTTGCAATAGTTCTCCACATCCTTCGCGGTGCCGGCCTCCTCGCTGGCCAAAGCCAATTGATCGAGCGGGCGCAGCGTAGTGCTGCTCCCGATTGAGCTGGGGGACTGGGTGGTGCGCGGCGTGGTGGGTATTTTGATCTTCTGCTGGGACTGTGGTGTTGCCTGAGTCAGCTCCTCGTTGGGCTTCTTCACCTTTTGCTTGTTTTTGTTCTTCTTGCGCTTCTTCTTCTGCTGCTGCTTCGCTTCCTTGTTCTCCACAAACATGGGCTTGCCTGGCGCCTGCTCCGCCTGTCCAATGCGCTTCGTGGCAACCTGTATGGCGCTCAAATTGGCGGGCTTGCCCGCTGGCAGCAAACTGTTGGCGGAGAGTGTAGCGGTGGAGGTGTCCAAAATCTTACCGGAGATGCCCGGCAAGGGCTCAGCTTTGGCAAAGGGCGAGGCTGTTGTGGAATCGTCACTCCGCTCTGTAGATTTAGTACTGGTGTTGGTGGTTCTGCTGGTGGTGCTGCTAGTGCTGATGGAGGCGGTGCTGCTAGTGCTGCTGCTCTCTCCATCAGCTTTGCTGCTACCCGCACTCTCCGCTTTGCTCTCCTGACCACCGCGCGTCATATCCACGAGTATGTGCCCAACATGGTTAAGTGCTCCGAGCGTCTCGGAGATGCGATGAAATGTGGACGGGGAGAGCAGGCGGGGCAGGGACTCATTGCTGCTGTCGGCGCCACCGTCCGCAGCGGGCTCCTCATCGCTGTCATAGTATTCACTGGAGCCCTCAAAGTCATCCTCGCCGTCATCCTCGCTGGCATTGCTGCTGCTACTGCCGCTGCTGGCCGAGTAGGAGCTGTACTCCAATTCCTCGGCCAGCTGGCGGCCCAGGCGCTTGTCGTGCAGGTGCGGCTGAAAGAAAGACGCTGCCTTAATAGTTAAAGTTATGAATGTCCGTGGTAAACAAAGTGCACAGAAGCCACTTACCATCGTTTGTCAAGTGCTGCGGCTGCTCATCATCCTCAGCGGGAGCTTGTGCCTGCACCAAGATGCCAGCCCCAAGTGCTGTAAAATATTTGAATAAAGATATTATATGCATTGCTTGATTGCAAATAAAACATAACACAAAAAAAAATTTTATAGACAATGCTCAGAACTAAACAAAGGAGAATTGGTAGAATGATTGTTCTTCATTATAATTCCTTTATACAGTTATTATTACACTATTTGTGATGCCGAGAAAATTCACAAATAATATTCTATAAAGTTGCAATACACAATACAAAAAATAATAAAATCTACCAAAAATAATAACAATAGTATATTTCCAAATTATTTGAGATCTTCAAATGAATTGCTCTCAAACAACAACAAAAACTTCAACTGTGTGAATACCTATAAACCGTCTTTCATACAACAAAGTTTAACTGCTGCATTAAAGTATTTCATAATTCGATTCTTAGGCTCTTCGAAAAGTAGTATTAGACATCATCGAGTCACTATATATTTGATTAAAATTTTGCGTTTCAAGTTGTTTGGTTTGAACTATCAATCAATTAAGAGGGTCAAATGGTTATAGTGATATATACATACATATATATTCTTTCATATCATTTTGAGCTCTTTTAGGCTGAGAATCAATCAATTAAATACGATTTCAAACAAAATTACGTTATACAAAATGCAAAAGAGCACATATAAATTTTATTTTATAATTTATATACAATATTGTATATATCTACTCTTTCCACTCATTTCAAAAAATCTCTGTTATTTTATCAGAAATCCATTATCATATTGACAAGCTTAAATTCTTATATCTACTTAAACATTGAGTAATATTGTACTATATTTTTTTTCATTTACTTACAGCAGACCTTAGTTAAACTATTCGCTTATTAGACGTTAAGCTCTACTAGCCCTTCGGCTTAGATAAACTATCATTAGTTTTGTCTGATGCTCATTGCTCGACTCCAATCAAACTCTTTTGTTACTAACTGACCTAAGTCAAAACTCAAATTGAAAACTTATGCAAAAAGCTCTTTCGAGTTGGGTAATGTCTCAAATCGGCATTACGCATCTGCAGTGCGGCAAAAAATGAGAAAGTATGTCGCTTGAGTCTCTCGCGCGTACACCTCTATAGCTGTATAACCATGCCCTGCCCTGCTCCGCAACGCCCTGCCCCGCCCACTGTGTTGGCCATGCATATCCGCGTGTAGCTCTTCAACTGAAGCGTTTAATGTTTATTTAGTTGTCTCTGTGACATAATCGCAGTTCGCATTGGTTACGCGCCCATCAAATGACTTGCAAGTTGATTGTTTCGCGGAGCAGAGCTCTCGAGCTATGCTTAAGTAAGTTAAGTAAGTTAAGTTGCACATTTTGCATAAATGCTGAAGCAGAAGCTGAAGCTGCAGCTCAAGGTCGCTTGAAGATTTCTCCAACTCGAGATTAATCAAGATGAATCTGTACGATCTGACGAAACATTTAGGCTGTTACAGTTTGACTCGAGGTTGTATTTACTTTTTTTTTTTTTATTTATTTATTTATTTTTTATCTTTGTGCGCCGCTCATTAACATTTTTTGAGGTGCGCACTGCAACTTTGTCACTTTCACTTGGGAATAAAATTGCCCATGCCAATGCCAAATTGTTTTATTTTTTGTTGCTGACTTCTTTCTTTTTTTTTTTTTTTTTTTTTTTTTTTTTGCCTTCACCATACAATAAAATACTGGGCAGTTACACGTAAAGTTAACTTGGCCCGCATATAGAAACAAGCCTCGAGGCACAATCGAACTATTGTTAATGCAAACATCAATGTATTTGTGTAATTGGCGAATTGTAAAGAACTTTTTCTTGTTAACAATGAATGTTCAAAGCAAGATTGAGGCTCGAATTAATTTGACTGATATTTTTCTTTTTTTTATAAAATTTTTAATGTTGTTAAAATGAATTTTCAAAGAATTTAAAAATAAACTAAAAACATATTTAAAATTTTATTTATATTTTGAAAAATTTAATTTACATAAAAATATTAATAATGTGATAAGCTAATAAACAATAATTAATGAATAATCACCTTTATAATATTTTTTGAAAGTAATAAGTCAGAGTAATATATTGTAAAAGTTGAATAAGATATATAAATTCACATATACAACAGAATATATATGTGTGTATATACATATGAATTTGTATAACAACCTCTGCTGAGCGTAATCAAATCAAATGTGCAAATCGTTGTTAAAACTGCAAGCAACAATCAAGCAGCTGTTTCTATTATTATTTTTCTTCAATGCCAATGAAAGTGAAAATCCCGGCTAACCGGCTGGGGAAACTGCAAATAGCTAGCGTACCGGGGAAAAATTGCAATTGAGCAATGGCCACAGATGCGATGCGACAATAAAAAGCGACAACGAACAAAAGAGAAAAAGAAAAAAATTAAAATGAAAAAAAAAAGCAGCTGCAATAACTTCCGAAGCGACAAATAAATATTACATTAAATTGCAGACAAGAAACACGAATTGCTGGAGGAGTTTGGCTTTGGGCAGCGAGCGATGACAGCAACACTTTTTTTTTGTAATATTGTTTTTGTAGCTTCTTCTTTTTCTGTTTTTATAAAATATATGTAGTTGCATAATATGTTTGGATAGGCTGAGCGGTTGTTGCGGTAATACCGAAAAGTCACAAACTGTCAATGTTCAAAATGCACAAAGCGTCTGTCTTTCCCTCTCTCTCTCTCTCTCTATCTCTATCTCTCTCTCTCTCTCTCTCTCTATCTATCTCTATCTCTATCTCTCTTACTCTGTATCTATATCTGGTAAATGTTAATTTGTAACCACAACTTTTTTGTGCAGTAGCTGAGTCAATTTGATTGGCCTTGGACACCTGTGTGTGTGTGTGTGTGAGTGTGCAATTTGCATTTGGGCAACTCGTTTTTTTGTGACGTCACTTGGCGGAAGATTTTGCCAAAGAAAGTTACAGACTTAGTCACGTTTTGTTGTTGTTGTTAATGTCTTATCTTGCTGTAAAATGCGCATTATGTGTTTTTTTTTTTTTTTTTTTTTTTTTGTGACTCGGCTCATTAATTTGAACACAAAAACTACAAAATAAAACGAGCGGCAACAAAGCAATACGGCTTGAACTTGAGTTTAGGGTTTCACTTTTACAATACACAGAGTGAGATGCACAAAGCTAACGATGTCGATTCCTTATGACTGATCAAATAGATTGGAGCACTGCCTGTTTTGTTTATGGAACTGACATGAATTCAATTTGCTGCCCGCTCCGCGCCCATCCCAAATTCAAGTTCGTTGCCTAAGTCTTTTGTTTGCACAAATAAACATATGGTTTATCTAATTTTTGAAATATTTCAAATATTACAAAATCTATGGAATCCATCGGAATTGTAATAAAAATGTGTTTAATTTTCGTATACCCACCTAGGCACAATAGGTATGCACTCAAATGCATTTTGTTTTTATTATTATTTTATTACTTTGTTTTGTGCAGTAAACAAAAGATTCGGCTTGAGCGCTTATTTCATTTGCAATAAAATTTGAATTTATTTTGGGATTTCGTTGAATCTGTAACGTTATTTAACACGACTTAACGAAACCGCCAGCGTTCACGCACTTAACGAAACCTCGCTCGCTCCAATGAAAATGAAAGTGTTAAGCGCGGTGTTAAAAAAAAAAACCTATATATATAAGTATTTATACATATATTTTTATTAAGAAATTTGTTCGCTTTATTTTTATTAGCCACTTGCTGCTTATGAGCTGTTAATTGACCCGCGTTATTGCTGGAATTTTGTAATATTTTTGTTGTTACTTATTACGTTTGTTTATTCGTTATTTTTGTTGAATTGCATAAATAAATTTCACTCTGTAAATCAGACACAAATTTTTGTTATTGTTTTTTACTTGAATTCAGATGATTTTTGGTACTTTTTTTTAACAAAATATTGTATTTCAGCTGTGGCTGTAGCTGTAGCAGTTGTGTCTGCACCGCGGCTGCTTCCGTGTGCCGTTGCTGCCCGAGTTCGACTGAAATTGAAATTGAAACTTAAACTGCAAAAGACAAAACGATCCAACAACAGCCCCAGCAGCAGCAGCAACAACAACAACAGCTTCTACAGCAGGCAACACAATAAAAGCGCTTCAAGTCGCGCTCGCAGACAGCTTTAACTTTGGCTTTTGGCTATGAGGGGGTCAGCGGGAGAGCGGGAGAGCGTCGCCAGAGCGCGGACCTCTCTTTTCATTTTGCTTTTGTGCATAGAGTGCGGAGTTGAGACCACGAAGGTAGCGCCGCAACGTACTGGGTTTTACTTTCTTTCAGCGTCGGCGCGCATTGTATTGATGGATCGCTTCGACGAGCAAGCTGTGCTTTAAATTCTGTAATTAACTGAGGCTTAACAAAAAAAAAAAAAAAAAAACAGAAAAAAAGAAACACAGAAAATAAATAAACAAAGATACAAAAAAAGCAACAAATACCAGCAGCTGCTGTCACTCCACCTCATTCTGTGCACCTTCAAAGCAAACCCCAATGAACCCGCCTCCCGCATTAGCGCACTTCAGGTAATACCCAACATATTTAGTCAAAAACAATATTTTGCGCAACCTTCGCATGTTTTTGTTGCTTTTGTTGTGCTTGTTGTAGTTGCTGGAAATTAGTGTCTTGCCATCGACTATCGAGAGTGCGCGTTCAATGTGGCTCCGGATGATTCACGCACTTTGCTAGTTGGTTTCCCCCGGCAACCGTTTTTGGCCTACTTAAAATGCGAATCGATTATGAGCTAAGTTTTTCAGTCAAAAAAGGTCGAAATATTGGAGGTTTTTTTTCTTTCTGTATTGAACTGTTTTGAGTTCAGCAGAGCTGTGGAAAATCCCAAAGTGTTTTGCTGTTTCGGTTTTTTAAGGTGAAATCCTTGACTTGTTTATCTTCAAAGGTTGTACAAAAACCATAGATAAGCTCTTTGGGTGTTATTATGATCGAATTGAGTACAGTTGCTGACTTTGCATATGCAAAAGACTGACTACATCAAATTTAAGCCTTAAAAAAAAAAAAAAAAAAAAAAAAAGAAGTCATTAGTTATAGTAATTATGAAAAGCTAAAACTATACCAAATCTAGATCGACTTAAGCCAGAGGCCTTAGCCACAAACTTCTTTGAAGTCTAAATTTTTAAAATATCCAAATATTACAGTAAATTTAATGAATGTGCTCTTGACAAATCGATGTAGTCTGACATGAAATGTAGGTCATCTTCCACAAGACAAAGTTCCCAATTGCGAGAACTTCTTGGAAAGTTGAGGTCTGCTCAGACCGAATGTTCATGCCCTGGAACAGTAACCCTCAGCCTCAGGCCATGTACATTGTCGAGCTCATCTGCACCATCGATGCTGCGAAGGAGAGTGTGTGTGATGCTGGCCGCGTCATTAACGACCGTGAAAATGAAAAGTATGGAGCGTGTGACCAACATAATTAATTTTGTATTCATACTCATTCCGCGCCTCAAGCTGTTTGACAACGGCAAAAGTTAGAAAACATTACTTCTTTTTATTATTATTATTTATTTTTTTTTTTTACCTCATTGTTCGCCAGTTGTTGACACCTTTCAGGGGAAAAGCAACAAAGGCCATAAAACCATAATGGCAGCATGTAACAAAAACTTTGCAGCTACTACACGAAAAGAAAACTGCCAATAAAAGCAAGCGTCTGGCTTAATGGCTGAGAAAATGTGACAATAACTTAATAAATTTATGTGGGTCTATGGAAATAAAGCCAAAGAAATATAACTAAAGCCAAGTAGACAAAGTGTTGGCTTGAAAGATTTTCGTTTGATTTGCGCGCGCTGGAGCTTTAAGCACTGCGCAGGCGCAGTGAATGAAGTGAAAGAAAGCTTTTACACGCGCCGCACATTCAAGCTTAAGCGAAGAGCTTTCTTTTACACGAATCAAATTATTCAGGGCTTGAACTTTAACTCTAGATATAAATTTAAATAATAAATCGGGACTTAATTTTAAGTTTAATAAAATAAATAAAATGAATAAAAAAAATAAATGAATAAAAAAATAAATGAATAATCTATAAATAAATAATAAATAAACAAATAATAAATAAGTATTTACATATTATTTTTTAAATATATCGTCGCTAAAACTGAAGATAACGAATTACACCTAAACTTTTTACTGTGGATTATATTTTCATTTATTATGTTTGATATATCTCTGCATACTCAATCAAACTAGTTTCTGTGAAATACTATCCATTTATAATTTTTTATTATTATCATTATATATTTATTAACTTAATTCATTTTATTTACAATTAAAAGCAGCTTGTAAGACATTAAATTAGCATTAAGAATTAGGCTACGACTACAATGCCATTGAAATGTTTTAACCATAAGCATTTAGGAATTGAATTCATATGCTTATCATATTTATATATATATGTATATATGTATGTATATATAGAGAGATACTTTATAGAGTGTTAGCAACGATTTGCTACAATAATTCTTTTGATCTTTCAGTTTAAAATTCGTTGACTTAAAGCTTTTGTGTCTAAGCTTAAGATTTTTTCCTACATATTTTTGTATATTCATATATTTTGCGAACAATTAACATTCAATAAAGTTGTACGACTTGCAGAGAGCGAGAGAGAGAGAGAGAGAGAGAGAGAGAGGAGTGCATATCATATTTACAGTAGATATAGTAGATAGTATCTTAGAGATACTCGTAAAACACAATCCAGTAGATACAATTGAGGCTGGCAAATAGAGCCGGGAAGAGCACACGCGATGATCGATCGATGTAGATGGCGCGCTTTAAACGCTCCTGGGCTGGCGTCAGCTTCGGCTTTGGCAACTCCGGCTCCGGTGCTGGCGGCGGCGGAGGTGGCGGCCGTATGGTTGGTGTCAATATTATATGCGACTCCTGGCGCGGAATCCAAGGACCGTCCGCATCTAAGGGTGGACGCACCACGCGCCGTGTTGTGGTCACAATCTGCAAGAGCAACGTCCAAGCAATATAGAGTATGAAATATATCTGTCTCTCTCTCTCTCTCTCTCTCTCAATTTCCAATTCTAGCTTCAACTTACGCGCTTGTTTTTGGTCATCTCGTCGAATATCTTTTCAATCTTTTCAATTTTCTCATCCGCCAGGGGCAACATCGTGGGCTGTTTATTCGAAGCGGCATTGCTGCCGGCTGCTGCTCCTCCTTCCGCCTCCTTCTTGCCTGGCTCGCCCGCCACGGGCTTGGGCGGGTATGCAATGGGCTTAGGTATGGGCGTGTCGCTGAGCACAATATTTATCAGGCAATACTCCATGAGGGCCATGAAGACGAACACCGTGCAGACGGACATGAAGGCATCCACAGCCTTCAAATAGGAGACGGGCGGCAAGGACGACTGCGACTTCGCATGCTGCGTGGAAAGCGTGAGCAGCGAGGTCACGCCCAGCGTGACACGAGCGGGCGCCGCCTCCGGCTTGATCCAGAAGGACACCCACGACATGATCACTATCATGCAGGTCGGTATATAGGTGTTAAACACGTAGTAGACCAAGCGCCGCTTCAGCGTGAACACCACCTCCAGGCACGTAAAGTTTCCCGTCGAATAGACCTGGGTGCAGTCCGCGGTCTCGTTCCGTATCAGCGCCACCTGCGGCAGCTCAATGTTCTCGTCCACCACCAGCGGCGTGGTGGGATCCCATTGAAAGATCAAATCATCCGTTGTGTGAGATACTGACAAAGGGAATTAAGTAAGATGGGAACGATTTATAAAAGAGTCCAATTTTTTTTTAATGTGATTTTCTCTATCACTTTTTGCTTCTCAACTAACTGTTCTTCATAACTCTTATTGGATTATTGGTAAAAAATATTGCATCTATTATTTCTTATTAAATTGATCGATTTTTATCAAATTCGCTCAAGTTTTCCATCTAATATTATATATTAATTTATCTGAACGAATAATAAGTTGGACTGTAAATCAAACTTCCTTCTCTGGATATGAATGATCGTTCGTTGTTCATTCTGATTTCGTTTTTTCAACAATTTTTCAAAATTAATTACATATTTTATTTATTGTAAGATCAAATACTTCTATCAAATTTTCTATCCACACCCTAGAAAGAATATGAGAATATAATATAGATAAGTGAAAAACTCACAGCTCTCCATTTGCAGCTTGCACTCCTGTGTGTCGTGTGGGTAGATGGCGAAATTCATGATGCAGGATAGCTTTAGCGTTAGCTTTACCATGTAGAGTATGGTCTTGTCCTTGTAGAGCCACATGTAGTGATTGGGAATGGTCATAGTTTGGAATGTAACCGACTTGGCATTCTTGAAGAAGGAATCGGGTCGCCACATATTCTTCAGCCAGTCCACCTCGAGCAGACGATACTCTTGCGTCATATTTTCGGGCAGTCGTAGGCGATGATCCTTCCAGGTTTGCGCGAAGAACACGTCCGCCACATAGGTCATGGAGTTCTCGTCGATGGAGTCGAGGCCCATGACAGTAACGTGAAAATAAACTATGGTGGGCTGCCCCTCCTTCTTGGGCGGGCGCATTTTGTCATAGCGCTTGATGTCCTCCGGCAGGATGTCGGTTATAGCCAGACTTTGTCTAGAGAGTGTTTAACGTTAAGATGGGGCTCCCAGCAACTGATGCCATACTCACTGAAATTCACCCTTGGCAAAGTGTTTCAAGCAAATGCAGCATATGACCAGCAGAATGATTTGCGCTACCATGTCTACAGATTGTTTCCTTCTGCAACGAGGGGAATATCATCTTGAGTACTTAAAGAGCTTGCCGTAGATCGATTGATGGCCGTGAGACAACCTTTGCTCGGGATCAAAGCAAAGCTCTCGAACGGTGTCACTGGCATTGACAATGCCTCGCATCGAGTGGAACAAAAATAGCGACAATTATGCTGCTTAACGGTGTAAATAAAATACGAACTAAAGGACAATGGCGGGGACAGTTAGCGCACTTCCTGCACAATAGCCTCGGCATTGCCAGCCTAACTACCTGAATCTCTCTCTCTCTCTCTCTCTCTCTCTTTATCTATTTCTCTCTCTTTCTATACATATCCCCTCGTTCGCTGCATCTCTGTCGTGCTCTGTCTACACGTGTAGCCCACAATACCGACTTAATTCACAATTAAAGCCACTCGAAGCGGGCGCGTGGGCGCTTTATGGGCCAAGGGGCTAGGGCGGTGCAGCGGAGAGGCACTCCATAAGTGGCCCATGCGCCTTTTGTGCACTGCCGATGCCGATGCCGCAGAAGCGTGTACCCCCATTGAACGCGACACGGCGACGGTCTGAAGGCACTGCGAATGCAACGGGCGCATTAGACAAGGACAATTCGCATGGTAAATGATGATGCCGAGGTAGCTAGCGCCCTAGCCTACTAGACGTCATGGCCAACGAGCAGGGTAACTGGAAATTCGTATTCCACATGCGTGTAACTAGGCCAACATGCTCAATTTATTCCTCAATTAAATCAAGCATCGATTTAACGAATATTATTAGTCGAGAATTATTGGATAATTAAATGCACACATAGAATATTTGCTGAGAATTTTCTTTCATTAATAAAGTTTTAATATAGTCTAACAATTTTCTATTTTATTTCTATTAAGCCTTCACTTTTATGTTTCTAAATTTCAAACTGATGAAAAAGGACAGATGTATTAAAATTAGATTTACAATAAAGAATATCTTGTAATAAATATGAGAACAAACTTATTTTGTATATTTTCGTATAGAATTTTCTGTTATTTAAAAAAGGAACAACTATTTTTGGTATTATAATCAAGTTTCTGAGTAAAATATAATTCAGTTCAATCTTAATTATATGATTTTAAAGAAATTTCGATCAATGATAAAACGTTCAGAAAACTTGGTAATTATAAAGCCATTAATTGTTGTAATTAAAATAATATTAATATTAGTCTTTGGACAGTGTGATTGGCTTTATGAAGTATTTCTTTAAAAATTCATATTGACAAAATATAAATAAATAAAAATATCTTTTGTCTTTGTCAATTTAATAAATAAAAATTATTTAAAAGATCTGAAACTTTAAAAAAAATTTCATAAAAAAAAGTAAATAAAAAAATGACTGCAATTTTTTTGGGGTGTCTGTGAATTGCATTATAACGCATTATATAATTTTATTTCGTCTGAGGTGAAGCTGAGGTATTCTAATTACTTTTTGAATGGTTTAAAATTGCTGTAGCTATAGCAATCGGATGTGTTACACAGATTTTGAAATCCTCACAACGGTTATATAACATCAGCTCGACGCAGTGATAGACATTTTGCAGATCATTAAGACAAATTTTTAAATTTGATTTAATAGCTTTAAATTTTAAAAGTTTCTCTATTTAAATTATTAATTATTTCTTAATTTATTTTTTAAATTTATTTCTTAGCTTAAACCTCAACACTTTAATTTGTAATTATAAATTTGTATTTTAGTTGAATATTTATGCCGATTTGAACGTCTTTGCTGTTCGAAGTGTCGCTGACAACTGACGTTTCGAGACGAGCGATTTGAATTTAAAACGTTGCCAGGCGAACAGGGCAGAAAAAAAAAACTTATTTGCCAACGAACAGGCGCAGGATGCTGGATACAAGGCGCGGATACAGATGTATGGGTTGCTCTATGTGTGTGTGTGTATCTGTGTGTGTGTGTGCTACTGAGACTATGTGGTTGAGTCGCTAAAAAAACCTTTGCACGCTAGCAAAAAAAGTGAAAGCCCTGTGAGAACTAGAGAAAACTCTTTAATACAGACTGTTCTTGTGCAAGTATGCGATATATATGTGCCTATTGTCTATATATATACACATATATATATATATATATATATATATATATATATATATACATATCTGTGTGTGTGTGTGTTTGTCTTGTCATAGTCACTTAACATAATTTTGTCAAGTGCTTTGGCATTGCCTTTCCACATAATCTGCTCGTGTCTCTGTCGTCATCGTCATTGTCATGATGAGCCAGGGTCTCCCATCCTAACCCCTCCACCTCAACAATCTCCCGCATTCCCCCTCTCCCACAGTCGCTCTAAGCTAGAATTCTGTACGTTTAGCTGCATTGCTGCTGTCGCCAATTGATTGCTTCTGGACCCTCAATCGCATCGAATTCGCGTGAAAATCTGTCCCCAGTCTGCATTATGGGCAAACTGTTTCTTTAGTTGTTCCAATCAATTGGCTTGTTAGTTGCCACGAAACAAGGCAACAACTTCTCAAGTGGCTTCCCAAGAGCAGTGTTTCTTTTCTCCTTCTCTCTCTCTCTCTCTCTCTCTCTCTCTCTCTCTCTCTCTCCCTCTTTGTCGTAACTTTTGAATTTTGCTTTATTTCTTGATTTATTGCAGCTGCCTGCAGTGCCGAAGGATTCTGAATGGCTGCTAATGGCAAGACGTCTTATGATAATCCAATGAACCCGCTGACGTCAAACGGAACCTGAAAATGCGAATATAAATGGAATGCATTAGTTGCTGACGCTGCTGCTTGGAGGCAAGTCTTATGAATAACTTAGCGAACTGATTAAATATTTAGTATAGTATCTAGAGAGAATGACAGAATGATCTGGAACGATTAAGGGAGATCTCTGAATGAGAGAGGATAAATTAGAATTAGTAAAAATACATCCAGATATTTGACAGGGTAATAAATAAGTTTCCTTAGAGGTCATTAATAAAATACATAAAAATGCAGCAGAGAGAGAGAGAGAGAGAGAGAGACTGATGAGGAGACCATCTGATATAGAAGAGCTTGGATAAGCACGCAGATAGAAAGTGATACGAAAAGGGAGACACCAATAAAGCAAGAAACAATGAAGAGAATAGCGGGAATGAGTGGAAAGCAGAGAGCCAACATAAAACAATAGAATATTATTGAAAAGAATCCTATTATATATAACGATAAATGAAGTTATAAGAGTAATAGATAAGGAAACAGTAAAAAAAAAAAAAAAATATATATATATATATATATATATGTATACATATATATATATATATACATATATATATACATATATAATATGTAACGGTAATTAATGCAGAGCTAGATAAAATGGTAATCAAAGAAACTTTTAGTTTTGACGAAGGCCAACTCATCTGTAATGAAACCTAGTCAAAGCTGTACGTAAGCCCATAGAATTAGTGCATGCAAATCTTCTGAAAAACTGCATAGAAATAAGATTCAAATGAAACCGCAAGTGAATTAGTTTTTCATTAGAAAACCAGTAATTAAATTAAGTGGCCGAAGTGTTAGACGGAAGCTGATGAGCTGTATAGGACCACACACATATATATTTAGAAGACAAGTCCGGTGCCACCTGTGAAAGGGGGCGTCTGTGTATCCAGAGCTAACCTTGAAGCATATTTCACATATTTACACACACACACACAAAGATATCCACAAGATGCCTATGCTTAGGCGTGCGGCCTTTTGCCACGCTCATCGCAGCTGCAGCACTCAACGCCTTTGCCGTAGACACTTTAGCAACACATCCTTTGGCCTTCCGACAACAACAACAAAAACAACAGCAACAACAACTCGTCAGCAGCATCGTCATTAAATTATCTCTGATGCGATAATAACACACACTTAAGTTACTCGCCGTGGATCTAACTAAGGTTTCCTTTCTTAGCGCCCTGCCCCGCCCCCATTCCCCCAGCACCCCGCCTGATTGTGTTATAAAAAGCTGCTGATTTTTCTATAGTTTATTCGAATGCAGTCGAGCGTGACGCTGCTTTTGGACCTGGACCTGAGTACTTGCCACAAGCTGTGGCTAGATGCGGCGCTTGCTTTTCAACCAAACCAAAAATTGCCCCGCACCACCCGCTGCACTCATTGGGTCTCTGGCAACCGCTTTAAGTGGTGCTCTTAACTTTCTGCTGATGGCAGCAGGAGGTGCGAGGCGAGACGCTGGCAAAGATTTCTTCTCAATGTTTTTTTTAGCTTGCATAGTTTTTATTAGACTTGTGGGGAGACTTTTCTATTTGGACAGGCTGCACGTCATTGAAAATTTGTATAATACATTTTATATTCGCGCCCATGAGTTGTGTCTTTGCGTAGGCTAAAAAGGTAGCGAAGGTCGCTCAAAGTGTGAAAGAGCGAGAACTGTTTCCCTGATTTGCATGAAGACATGAATTATTCACACTTTATTCAGGAGTCAAAGGAATCAAAGTTACATACGAATCTTTACTAGCTAAAGGGCCAACAATTTCTATAAGGACACGACTTGTTCTCTGAGTGAGTTTATAACTTTTTCGACTTCTTTGACAAATCTGAGAAACTTGTAATTTCTCCAGATCTTTTAAAAAAAATTGTAAAAATTTTTGGAGCTGCTTTGAGGACTCTTCCCATTCAAAACAGTCGTCTATCCGTTTGGTTCAGATCAGATTTATTCTTTGCTGTTTCAGCAGAGCTTAGACATTTTTTGCTTACTAAATACTCAGTTCTATGTTTATCTCTTGACAGCCATGAAAAGTGACTCAAATAAATTCAATGATATTCGATCGAAAGCATTCATAACTGAAACAGAGATACTAATTAATATCAAGAGATGACGCTGCTATCCACTCTATTTCAGGTGAGTTTTTTATTTTAGCGGTTTCCTGTTTGCAACAATTTGCAAAACTATTCAAAAATTAATAAGACTTGTCTCTGCGTGTCTGTGTGTAGCCGTGTGTGTGTCTGTGTAAAATGTGACCCACATTGGGCCACCACATGCGGAAGTCCATTGAATGGAAAGTTGCAGCGCGCTTAAGCAACCTCCAGCCACCCCAACTCCCCAAGGCGAGTTCCATTCATGAGACGAGGACATTGAACCGGCTTCGAAATGGTTAATAAGGGAGTTGCGTACGGGGCTGGGCGAGCGGGGGGTGCCGCCCTTAGGGGTTGAACGCAACAGTTGCCCAGGTGGAGAGCTACCCAGTGCGTCATTGTCGCCAATGTTGATAAACAAACCTGTAGCCGACTCTGTGGCAGCACGTGTGCCCCCTGCTCGGTGGTTAGTTAGTTGTTGCATGTTCGGCTAGTGGTTGCGGTGCCAGGGGGTGGCTCGTGCCCATACGGCGCATGCGCCGGCTCCGAGCAGCTGAGCGCTCCGCTGTGACGTCGCTATTGATTTTTACACGGCCAGAAGACGCGCATCGCTGCGCACTGCATTTCAATATAAAATACAAAAAAAAAAGAAGCGCACACACAAACGCACAAACACGCACAGAAAATGCATTAAAAACAATAGTGAAAATTAATAACAAAAATTAGCCAAACATTGCTAAATAATTCATAAACCTTTGGCTGGCAGGCAAAGGAGCTGCGCGCTGGCAATACGGAAGCGTGGCCCAACATGATTAAACTGCGACCATATGTGCCCTCCAAGCGCATCGCCATACGGGACTCCTCGATTGATGAAGACATCAGCGACGACGTGGACGATGAGGTGTTCATCAAGGACGCCAGATCCGCCAAGGTGAGTCACCAAGTGAACTCATCTCCTGTTTTTTTTTTATCGATGTAATAAATCAGCAAGAAAATTTGATGCTGCTCGCTGCACTCAGTTCGTGTTCCTAGATTCGCTTTCGCTTTCTTTTCACTCTCGCTGTAAACGGCGCATAAGAGATTTTTTCTTCTTTTAAACATATGCGACAGCATTTGGAGGCCTTTCACTTGCATTCACTGTTTGTTTTGTATATTCGTTTAGATTTGTTTTGGCATCTGGCCAAGTTCTGCTTTAGGCTGTCTAAGCTAAAAAAAAAAAAAAATATATATATATATATATATATATATATATATATATACATTTGGCCTGACTGTAAAAATCTCTTGATTATGTCGATTGCGATTTGCAATATGTTTCTTTTAGACTATTATTTTTTTTTAAATTTTTTTTTTTTTTTTTTAATTTTGCTAAATTTTATTATTATAGATATATATAAATTTTTAATAATATTTTTTTTATTATATTATATTTATCTGATTTTAACTATTTTAGAATAGTAACAGACAATTACTTCAGCAAAATTCCGACAGTTTTCAAATTTGGAATTTATAGGCGAAATGCGATCGAAATTGTTAAGTGGAACTCGTCAGAAAGCGTTCTTGATTGTATTTACCCAATTAATATTTGTATAGTATATATACTGCGACCCCATCTTTGCATCTTCGCGGCGATGCAGCTGCCTGGCAGATTGCGCAAGTATTTGTTTTGTAGGCTAATTGTAATTGGACTATTATCGATTGCAACAGGGAATAACTATCCATAACAAGCATCATCATCTTCAAATGAAGTAGGCTGAGTAAATTATTTCACAATCGATATGACATCGCTCAGCCAGTAAATGCAGTCGACAGTGGAACGTTTAAAGTAGACACTTCTACTTTAAGTTAACACAGTAAAATACAAATATTTTCGGTAATTCCAAATAAAACCAGAGGTATACATATCCAAAGATCTTTCGCTTCGAAATAACTGAGCTCTAACAAGTAAAGGTATATCATCTAAGCTAGCATATACTGGAACTAGCGATTTCTACTACATTTTACATAATGTTCATATGTTAATTAGGGATTGCTAATTAAGTTTATCGGGCGAATTCAAAAGAAAGTTGTTTACGAAAATGTTTACTTAATTTGTAAGCAAACGAGCGATTCGCCTAGAGATAATATTAGGCCTTAGCCTTGGGCGAATTCGCTGTCTACTCCAAGCCGGGCGAATTCGCTGTGTGCTCTAAGCAATACGAATTCGCCTTATTTCGCTCGTGCTTGTAAGCAGTTCCGTTTTGGTTCATATTGTCTCTCGTTTAATCTAAATCTCTTCAATCCCTTCTCCAATTGCAGCGCAGTGAAGAGCAGGGACTGAAGCGTCCGTTGATGGCGCCGCGTCGCAAGCACAGCTCCGGCTCGATCAACAGCTCGACGCCCATTATGAAGCAGCACAAGAGGCGGCGCTGCTGCCGCTGCTGTGAGCCCTTCTGCTACGCCTTGGCCGCGCTGACCGTGCTCTGCGCGCTGCTCAGCCTGGGGGCGCTGATGCTGACGCTGTTCCCGCAGCCGATGCAGCGCATCCATCACTGGTGGCGCGAGGATGCCCAGCTGGCAATGTTGTCCATCAATGGTGACGGCAGCGGCGGCAGGATCAGCTATGGCAACCGCCTGGGCACAGAATTCGTGCCCTGCACTCAGATCAGCGTGCAGCGCTTGTGGACGCGCAGCTTGGCCCGGATGAACAGCGAGAGTCCGTTGCGGGCGGCCGATCTGAATGGCGACGGCATCAAGGACGTCATCTTTGGCTACGGCGTGGATGACAATATACATTACGAGGGCATTCCGCTGCCACGCTGCAAGTCCGCCCAGCAGGGCGACGACGTGCCCTGCGAGGGCGGAGTCGTGGCGCTCAACGGGCGCGACGGCTCCACGCTGTGGCAAACGTGGAGCGTGGCGAATGTCTTCTCGCTGCACTGCAACGCGGACATAGATCGGGATGGCGGCGTCGACTGCGTAGCGGCAGGCAGATTGGGCGTGAGTAGCAGCTCCCACTGAGTCTGGATGACTCTCCCCATTCTATATACTATATATTTTCCGTTGCAGATGATCTTTGCCATCAATGGACGCACCGGCCAGGTCATCTGGAACTTCCACGAACTGGAGGTGGAGACCAACTCGCCCATTGTAATGGATCTCTACACGATCAACGTGCTGCGCGACCTGGACGGCGATGAGGTGCCGGAGCTGATAGCCGCGCATCTCGAGGAGCGCGAGGAGTCCAAGGCGGGCCACATCAAGCTCATCTCGGGCAAGACGGGCAAGGTGCTGCGCAGCATACCCACGCCGCACCGCGAGGAGATGTTCGTGCCCATCCAGCTGCTGACCCGCGCCGACGGCACCGAGCTGCTGCTCATGCTGACCGGCGGCCAGAACACGGCTGGTGGCATCTACAGTCTCCGGTTGCTCACGCTGATGGCGCACACGAGCGAGAAGCACTTCACTCCACTGTATCAGCAGTCCAGGTCTGGCTTGATGGTGCCTGCCGTGCTGACCGATCTCAATGGCGATGGCATCACCGACGTGGTCGTCGCCGCCTTCAACAGCAGCGTCTTTGCCTTCGACGGCAATAACTATAGCCAACTCTGGAACTACACGTTCCCGGCCAGCGAGTGCGTCAGCGCCATTGTGCCGGGCCACTTTGATCGGGACAATGTCACCGACTTCATGGTCAAATACAATACTGGTCCGGGCTTCCCCGTCTACTACTACTCGCAGACCACAATTCTGGACGGGCGCACCGGGCAGCCGCTGCTTGATGCCATGATGACGGACGCGGGAGGCGCCAGTAGCCTGCTGGGCGGCGTGTCGATTTCGCAGAGCTTTGGCGGGGACTTCTTCCTGCACTGGCAGCTGCAGTGCCGCAACAGACCCAATGCCCGGGATGCCTACGAGTTTGTGCCGGACAGCGACATCATCTTGCAGGCACGGGCGGACACCTGCAGGCTGCGCTACAACGAATCGACGGTGCTCAAGCTCTATGCGATCGCACGGCACATTGAGCCGCCGGGCGCGGTGCTGTTTAGCACAGATGATCTGGAGGTGCAGCTGAATCGCACACAGAGGCCGTCGCCGACGGGCAAACAGTCGCCGTTAAAGCATCCCAAGCTGCTCAAGAAGCTGCTGGCCAATCGGGAACAGTTGCTCAGGCAGGCGGCCGCAGCTGATGCAGCGGAGGAGCTGCAGTCGCAGGCACAGTCTGGTGCGGGTGCGGTCAAGTACACTAAGCACCGCAAGCATCCGCTGCCGGAGCTTCTGCCGGACAACGAGCTGCCCGGCTTCGGCGGTGGCTACATCAAGGAGCCCTACAAAGAATTTGTGAGTTATTTGAATAGATTTGAGTCAGAAATTCTTAACAGCAGCTTCTCTTGCAGAAGGACTACGAGCCATTGCCGCTGCCTGCAGAGAATCCCAATGCCATGCGCGTGCCGGAGGAGTACGAGCTAGTCTACAACGATGAGGTGCCCCAGATGCCAGAGCAAAACGAGCGACCCATCCACTTGCGCAGCAAATATCCCAGTGGCAACAATCGGGATGTGCGCAGTGGCAAGCTGGAGGGGATCAGCAGCACCAGCAGCCCCACCACCAGCACCTCTAGTCTGCCGCTGTCGGCGCAGTCGCCGCTTAGCTTGTGGGATCTGGAGCTCGACAATGAGGCCCAAGAGCAGGCAGCAGATGCAGCAGCTGCAGCGGCAGCTGTAACCGCCTCCAGCACACAGTCGCAGTACCGCCGACGCAAGCGACAGCGACGCGATGATTCAGCTGCGGCCAGCAGCAGCAGCAGTGCTTCCTCTACAGCTGGCGAGGATGGGGTAGCGACGACTGAGACTGCACAGACAGAGGACTGGTATTTGGCATCCATCTCGTCAACGGGCATGCTGCTCAAGGCGCTGTCCAATGTGAGCTCCGCGCTCGACTTTGCCTTCGTGCTCAACATACGGGAGTCGGAGGCGTATCCACCGTTATTCTCGCCGCAGGATCTCAGCTGCGTCGAGGAGAAAATAAGCGCCTATAAAAGTGAGTTTATTTACTGCGACCTTTGAAAATAGTTCACATATTTATTTATTATCTCTGCAGGCTATACCGCCGATAACTTGCGCGTGCTGCGCAAGCAATTCCTTAAACAGTGCCTGAGCGAGCGGCTCGTGGACACGGAGCCCGACTTGCCGAAGTACGAGGCACAGTTGATAATTACAAGAATTGGCATAACATGCACCTGCCACACACTGCAGCCGGGTGAGGTGTGCTCCGAGCTGAATCCAATTGATGCACAGCGCTGGACTGAGTTCATGGGCAACGATGGCAATGGCTATTATGCCAACTAAAAATCGAAGTCTATCCTACTAAAAGCTCTTCGCTCTCTCTCTATCTATCTCTCTCTCTCTCTACTCTACAATAATTGTAATTAATCGATTGTCATTAGTGTCTGTGTGGCTGTTTCGTGTTATTGTAACAGTATTTATGTGTGTCATTGTGAATATTTTCGGATTTTTTAAAATACAATTAAATATTTAAACTTATGAAATGCCCGCCAATATGCTGCAGCTCGAAATGGTTTTCAAAGAGGGTGGCAACTCTATAGCAAACTAATCAAAGTGAGGATAGTTGCAACAGAATATCGGCAGTCGACTAAAAAGAAGTATTTAGATATACAAATCAGTTTAATAATTATTAATAATTATAATTATTTTTATTAACTTATGATCAATTATATTTCAGAAATTAAATGTAAACAATTAATGTTCATACAAAGTATCGATAAGTCAGCTTATCGATACGACTGTCCGTGCCTGGCTCAGCACTAGAAAGTCAAACTGTAGACAAAAACAAGAGCGTTGCAGCTGCCTAAATATTATTATTAACTTAATGCTGCGCCCTAGACATATTCAAACACCAGCATGGGCATTCTAGAGAAGATTGCAGAGATCGAGCGAGAAATCGCGCGCACCCAAAAGAATAAAGGTATGTGCAAATATATGTATAGAAACCGGCGCAGACAACGCGGAGTCGGAATTCGCATTGCTGGCAATGGCGTTGCCAGCTATCGGAATTTAGGGTTAGAATTCATTTGGCAATTCTTGAATCTTGCAGCAACCGAATACCATTTGGGCCTGCTCAAGGCGAAGTTAGCCAAGTATCGCTCGCAGCTGCTGGAACCGGCCAAAAAAGGCGAAAAGGGCGAAGGATTTGATGTGCTGAAGAGCGGCGATGCGCGTGTCGCGCTTATTGGATTCCCCAGTGTGGGCAAGTCCACCATGTTGTCCACACTGACCAAAACCGAATCGGAGGCGGGTGAGTGGGGTGGTCAGAAGGCCGACACCTTATATAAAATGATTGCTTCTTACTGCACACAGCCAACTATGAGTTCACCACACTGACATGCATCCCCGGCGTAATTGAGTACCAGGGCGCCAATATACAGCTGCTCGATCTGCCGGGTATCATCGAAGGCGCTGCCCAGGGCAAAGGTCGTGGTCGTCAGGTGATAGCCGTGGCACGCACAGCAGACTTGGTGCTCATGATGTTGGATGCCACCAAGCCGAATGTGCATCGCGAACTGCTAGAGCGGGAGCTGGAGTCCGTGGGCATACGTCTGAACAAGCGAAAACCCAACATATACTTCAAACAAAAAAAGGGCGGCGGTCTGAGCTTTAATTCTACCTGCGCCCTGACGCGCTGCAGCGAAAAAATGGTGCAAATGATTCTGCACTCGTTCAAGATCTTTAATGCAGAGGTTCTATTCCGCGAGGATTGTACAGAGGATGAGTTCATTGATGTGGTCACGGCCAATCGCGTCTATTTGCCTTGCCTGTATGTGTATAATAAGATTGATCAGATCTCCATAGAGGAGGTGGATCGACTGGCTCGACAGCCCAACTCCATTGTGGTCAGCTGTAACATGAAACTCAATCTGGACTACATGCTGGAGGCGCTCTGGGAGGCATTGCAGCTGATCCGGGTATACACCAAAAAGCCTGGTGCCCCGCCAGACTTTGACGATGGCTTGATTCTGCGAAAGGCAAGTAACTTGGTAACTTAATGTAATGGAATCCCTTTTAATCTTGCGCGCTCTCTCACAGGGCGTCACTGTGGAGCACGTGTGTCATGCCATCCACCGGACGTTGGCCGCACAATTCAAGTATGCATTAGTCTGGGGCACTTCCACCAAATACTCGCCACAGCGCGTGGGCATAGCCCATGTCATGGCTGACGAGGATGTCATACAGGTGGTCAAGAAGTAGATCGCATTTGTTGAGCGCTTAGCCTTGGCATTAATGGAGTTGAAATATATATTATATTCTACCTAAAGCAACCCAATTGTGCAGATCGTCCATCTGTTGTAGCATTATCTTTCCTCAAAAATATAAAACTGTGCCGGTTTATTGAGAGTCGTCAGCCCACTTCTTGGAAGATGCCGATGGTTTCTCTGCCTGCCTGCCCAGGAATAAAGCCGAATATTTTAAATTGCATGATCGTCCTATAATAATTTTATTGACTGATCGAACAAAACAACTAAAATCAAAAATTGAAAATCATATTCATATATTCAGCATTTGGATGCGGATGCATTGTTGGCCGTTGCCGCTGAGGCAGCTGCGTAGCTCTTGTTCAGCGTGCTCATCGCCGAGATGTTGGTGAATGGTGTCGGGCCGCTGCTGATGCGTTGTGGCTCTACTACGGTGGGCACGGTTGGCTTTTCCAAGGCGGCAAACACATTGGTGGTATCTCGCATGCGATATCGGCGTAGATTCAAGTACTGCTCTTTCTGCTCCTCGACGCGTTGGTGGATCTCATGCAGGCGACCAGCCAGCGAGATAAAGGCTTCGTTCAGCTGGCGAAAGCCTCGCTTCAGATCCGCGGGCGATATACTTTGTGGATTGGCTAGCGCTTGCATGTGGTTTTCTGTTTGTAGGATCTGCTGTCGAAAGGCAATCAGATCCTCCTCGTACTTGGCCACCAGGCATTGGAAGTATTGAAAGGGTGCTCCGTTCTCGAACTGCAGTGCGGCGGGCGTGTCCTGTGTCCGCTGCGCCATCTCCAGGGATTGAATGGCCTTGGCCGTTTCGCTGCGCAGCTGCTTGATGTGCCGATTGTTCGCATCCACCGAATTGGCCACGTTTTGCAGGACCCAGCGCAGATTCGTTATCTCGTGACTCACGTTGGTGAGCTTAGAGGTCGACGTGCGTCCAATGTCTGACGATATTGTCTTTTGCTGCTTGATGTAACTCTTAAGGGCATCCACTGTCTTCACTATCTCGTCCGGCACTTGGGTCTCCTTGATCTGCAATGAAAGGACAATTAATGATGCTGCTTTCTGATGCTAGTGCCCGCAGTTACCTTGATCCCGTCCTGCTTGTTGTCGCCTATCTTGGGCTGAGTGGCGCTTACATCGATGCCGCCAAGGCCCACAAACGTGGGAGCCGCTGCTGCGGCCGGCTGTTGACCTGTCGTTAACGGCTTACCGAAAATTCCTCCTGTAGCCGCGGGCGCAAACGAGCCGCCCAGCCGCATACTCGAATTGAAGGGCTGCGCTGTGGACGTCGTTGTGGTCGTGTTGAAATTGAGACTGGCTGCGGTTGTTCCCAGCGGCTTGTTAAATGAAAACGCGCCAGTACCTGATCCGAGAGTTCCCGCTCCAGTTGTTCCGAAAGCAGGCGGCGCAGTGGTAGGCGCGGATGTCAAGGGGTTGGAGAAACTGAAGGTGGGCGCCACCGTAGCGGTTGCCGCGCCGAATGCAGGTGCAGCGGCAGGAGCGCCAAAAGTTGATGTTCCACCTCCAAGGCTGCCAAAAGCGGGGGCTGCTCCTGCAGTGCTGCCGAAAGCAGGTGCAGTAGACGCGGGCGCACCAAAAGTGGAGCCAGTGGCTCCAGTTCCAAATGCGGGCGCCGCACCGAGACCGCTAAACGCCGGCGTACTCGTTGCTGCCCCAAAGGCGGGCGCTGCTGCAGCCGCACCAAATGCAGGCGCTGCCGTCGTCGCGCCAAATGCCGGCGTCGCAGTCGCTGCTCCAAATGCTGGTGTAGCCGTAGTGCTGCCGAAGCTAGGCAGGGTAAGGCCGCCGCTCATTGGAGCGACTGCAGCTGAAGCTGGCGAGCCGAAATTGAGCGTTGGCGCTGTGCTTGCTGCTGTTGGCGCGAAATTGAAGCTGGGCGCTGCTGCGCCGACCGCGGCGCCTGCTGCTCCAGCCAGACTTGATGTAGCAGTAGCAGCGCCAAAGGCTGGCGGCGGGGCGCTTGTTGCTGGTCGCGCGCCAAAACTGAAGGCGCCTGTTGCTGGTGATGCAGTGCTACCGCCCAAGCCGGTATTCGTGGTGGGTGTGCCGAACGAAAAAGACATCGTTTAACGTGTTATCAATTTAAAACAGTCGAAATATCAGCTTAATTATTGACTCAAAACGAAATTTCACAATAAACTAAAACCCACACTAAATAATTTATCGATAAGTAATAAATATGTTCAAAAAATTCAACTAGTTCATTATCACAATCAACTCGGCACTCAAAAAAGTTATCGATAAGTTTTAGATACTTGGCTTTAAATGCATAGCTAGTTAATTATTCCAAAATAGTATCCAAAAGCAAAGGGCAAAACATGTTTTAGCATTGGTACCTTATGTATACAAAAATATATGCAATAATTAATAATTTAGCCAAACATTTGATTGAAATTGTTGCACTCATACATGCATGTTGCTTTTTGGGCCAGACATGAAAACAGCTGTTCATTATACATGCGACTAGCGAGTGCTGCCACCTTTTCACATTAGTAACAAAAAAAATCGCTAGGGGCGCTATGTCGCATTTAGTCTTTTACAGTTATTTTCACTTAACAAGTGATCTTAGTTCGCACTCGTGTTTTAATTGCAATTTTCTGTAGAGCAATGGCCGCATTAGAAGAAAAATATACAAAGTATCTAGATGAAAGCGGCATATTGCCGCGCCTACTCGAAATCTTGGAGAAATTGGTGGATTTGGATCCACTGCCCGCGGATCCGCTTATGGAAATTCTGGATGCACTCGGCTGCCAGCTCATACCGCAGGCTCAAATGAAGTCGTTGGAAAGGAAGGTATCGCGCGCACAGGATGAGCTGCGCTATCTGCGTCGTGTGCTGATCGAGCTTGGTGGCCACGACGAGCTGTACGACAGCGACACGGACGAGGACGAATATGTGGGTCAGGTTACCGAGATGGGAGTTACGCCGCTTTACTCGCCCAACACTTCTAGCGAGGACGACAGCTCGACATCCCAGTATATTTTGGAGGCATCAATTTCTGTCAGCGAGCAGCAGCAGCAGCAACACGAGCAGGAGCAAGAGCCCTGTTGCAGCCATGATCTCCGGATAAATGCGCATCATTTCTAGATGAATCCACTTATGTATCGAGTACATATAGACAAATTATAATGTATGCATATATACATGCATACTTTTAACTTAACTTTAACTTTTAACTGCGCTAACAGTATCTCAAAATTTACATTTCTTCATATTTTATTAGAGAAATTCATTTAACTATTTGATTAGTTCAGACAGCGCTAGATCGTTGCACATTATGTAAACCTATATTAATATCTTGTTATATCGGTATTAATATCCAAAAGACCATGCAAGAACATGGCGTATCGTTAAAAATCGAATATATGTATTTAGAGTGTCAAATACATTTATTCACATTTCTTCAAGTTTCAAATTATTGCCTAGAGCTTGATATCATGTCAGAATATTTAATAATATATACACATAATAATTACTTGCGTGGAAGTTCTTCGAACTGAAATATATATAATATATATATATGAATATTGAATTAATAAAATCGAAAATAATAAACATAATATTAATTATCTTTAATATAAAATGAAATATATTGTGAAATTCAAATGACTTAAAGTCCTATTCAAGAGTATTTATGAAAAACTAAGATAACTAATGATATGATTATAATTTACATATTATTTTGTAAAAGTACTTATACCTCTACACTTATTCAAATGATATTTAGACTAGAAAGCCGCCGAATTATAACGTAGCCATATCTCTATTTGGATCTCGTTAAACAATCTCAAATACTGACAAATCAAATTGTTATTACGTAGCAAGAACTTCGCTTCGAATGAGGCAGGGGATGGTAGATTTTATGATGTTACCTGTGGGAAATCAATAGGGCATCGTGTGCGCCGCTTCAGCTGTTGCATCCGCAAATAGCGCAAAACAAAACAACAATTCAATTAACTCGAAACATGCCATCCATGTTGACAACTGCAAACTTCATTTACTAAAACCCTTATCCAATAGCAAATAAGATGCGGAATGTGACCGGAATGTGGGCCGCATAACGTAAATGCCGGATTGCCAAACTGTGAAACAAGTTCAGCTAAGCTCGAATAGTTTCGCTTGGCAGTTAATCCAAAATAGTGATCGGAATCTGTGCTGGGAATGAATGCACCTAGAAGAATTTTGAACGGTTGAGTTTGTAGCTAACTCAATATATTTGAATTTATTGATTGATTTAATTAATATTAAAAATTGTAAATATATCAAATTGGTTTACCTACGATTTCTGTAAGGCGAATCATATATTAAATTTGCATCATTTGAACGATAATTTTATTTCCTCAAATATAATGCAAATTGGTTGGGAACTTTTTATTTTACTTTAATATAACAAAGTTAAGCATTCAAAATTGTTCAATGAAAATATATTAAGGTCTAGAATATTATTTCAAACCGAAACAAATATTTTGTTAGGAAAAAAGTTTAGTAAAATATTTGCAACCCTTTACACTTAATAACTGCTAAAAAAAAAAAAGAAAAAGAAAATATATTATGTATAACATCAAATATAAAAAATAGTTTTTACTATTTATTTGCAAATTCGGCGATAAATCCATCTAAGCCACAGTGAGCAGCTTTGCTGGAGGCGTGGGGCGTGGCAGCTGACAGCTGCTCGTCGTTGTGATAAATAAAATGCAGCTCGAGTTGACATACATAAATATTAGCAATAGCAGAGCGAACAACTAGCAATTGCGCGACTAGCAGCTACCCTGCACTGTGAGGGAGCACTACCATTATATTATATCCAAAGGTACATATAAATTAAGAGAAAAATAAATTAAATAAATGAATATATATATATATATATCGAAGCAATTTAATGTTTCAAATTGTGTTGGTTGAAGCTTCTTTGTCTGTTACTCTATTTGTTAATATTCATACACATATATACATATACATACGTAATAGTTTACGCCACGCCCATTTCTGTCTGTTAGACAAAATTAGCATGGAACGAATATGCCCAGGCTTGTCACTTTTAATGGGTAAACAAGTAAAACATATTTACTCTCTCCCCATGTATGTATTTTATTTATTTGCTTGTGTGTGAAGAGGATAAAGAACACGCGCTGCGGGGGGCGTGGCATTTGCTGTCAACTGTAGCGGCTGCTTTAAATTGCGTTCTATTTTTGTTGTATTTTTTACAATTTATTTAGATTTTTTCTCCCCATTTTGACTTTGAATAATTGCTGCGGAAATTGCCTTTTAGCAGCAATTTTGTGGCTAAGCAGAAAGATAAAAAGGCAAAAAAAAAAAAAAAAAAACAAAGGCGCCGCGCGATAATTGATTGAAACAAAATGCAGTCGCATTGGTTTACAAATTTCGCCCTTTTATTTTTATTTTTTGCTCTACTTTTTTTCTTCGTGCTGCCAACTAAGCTCCGCACAAGCTGCATACTTTTGGGCGCTTAATCTGTGCGTCCTGCGCAGCACAAAATCTGCTTTGCCTGCCTGTCTCTCTCTCTCTCTCTCTCTCTCTCTCTCTCTCTCTCTCTCTCTCTGTAAGTCTGTCTGTCTGCCTGTCCGTCTACTTCTGTGTCAGTGTGTCTGTCTGACTGGCGTAAAACTTTAACCACGTAAAATACGAGCCCGCTGGGCAACAGCCGCAATACACACAGCCACACAACACACAAAAAAAGGACAAGAGAAAAGAAATCCGCTCCGAAATGCACGAGCTGCAAACGTGGAGCATTCGAAATGCATATGAAAAACAACGGCTGCAATAAAACAAAAAAAAAGTAACCGTGGTCAGTGTTGCCAGACTAGCTCGAATTTCTAATGAGCTATGCGAACCCAATTGCGGTGCTTAATGATTTGGGCCACATATTTGCTTTGGCTTTTGCTACAAATAGGTGCTGTCTAGTTATAAACGGCCTATTTCTAACTGCTAAGTGCGCAGTAGTACTTAAATAGCAAGCCCAGAAAATTCAGCATTGTCACAACACAATAAATCTCGTTGACTAAATGAGTATTTCCCTATTCCAAACTATGATATGATCAATTAATATCGCTCTTCTTAGCGATTCTCATTAATTTTAAATAATTAATAACCTGTATTATATATATTATATTCATATATATTATATAATTATTGTTTCTCCATATTATTTACTGATTTCATTTTTTTTTTTTTGTATATACTCCATTTTTTTTTTTTTAATATTTTAAATTTCTTTGACTTCTCTTCCGGAATTTTCTAATCATCTAATATGTTCGTTCTATAGCACTGTATAGCTATTGAATCTATGTATATGCGGAACTCAGTTCGATATTTTGTGCAGCGCCTGACGCTACTGTCACGCCTCTATTCCGCTCAGCCTCTCCCGCCGACTATCAACCGGAAACGCCAAAGCAACTGCAACACAGAAGGCAACCAAAAAATATAAAAACGAAAATGGGCAAAGGAAGAATGAATGAAATCGGAGCAGAGCGGAGCAGGGCGGAGCGGATCTCTGTGTGGGACGTCGCTTCAATTTCATGTCGAGTAAATTTTAATTTACAGCTCTTTTGTGACCGCAGGTTTTGCCATCATGCGAGCCCAAAACTTTTTCACATTTTATTTTTATTTTCAGTATTTTCCTTCTTTTTTTTTAGTCGGTTAATTTGTTTTTCTTTCTGTTTTCCTGTGCGGATATATATGACTTTTGGGCTATTCGGTCAGTTTGGCATGTTGGCAAAAAAAAAACATATATATATGTATATATATCGCTGCCATTTGCTGCAGGGCCACATTTGCCATTAGTGCGAATAGCCGTTTGGGGGTGTGGCCCGGCGTGGGTGGTGGGCTGCACAAAAGGCGCCGCCGGACTAATTGCAGCTGGAAAAAGTCTAAACTATGCTTCATTAGCGCCCGCTGAAAACTCTATTAGTCAAATGAGGCAGAGGAGGGGAAAAAAGGGAAAAAGAGTCGAAAAAGTTGTATGCGTCGGAAAAACGTGCGGCGCCTAAATAATGTACAAAACTTTATTGGCAAATGCTAAACAAAAACAATTAAAATGCAATTAAAAAGCATGAATTACGAGTTACGTCCGGAGTTTTGTTAACTGCAGGGGCGTGGCCAGGGAAATACATACTATACCTTGAGTATATATTGTACATCTAACATAAAATAATTTATTTTTCCTGTTTTTTGTCAGCTTGAGCAAATTGCAGCTCAATTCGAACCGAAATACATCAATGTCTCACACACATGCAAAAAGAAAGAAAAGAAGAAAAAAAAACTTTGCACATTTTATCATTCATTGTCATTTTTCATGCTGCCAGCAGCAACAACAACAAGAACACTAAGGCATTGGTAAGGGGGAAAATGGACACGGAAAGGGTTAACAATTTTTATGTGTCAACAAGAATAATTTGTGTCACGCAACGCAAAAACTTGGCTAAGAGATGACAAAATAGAAACAAGAACTGGCAAAAGTATCGTAAACAAAAGCAGGCAGCATATTAATAATGAAAACAGGACAACCAGCATGAACATACACATACACACACACATATACAAACGTTTGAGACAACAAAAATGTGGAAGGAAATCAACAAGCATCTAGAAATTAATACCCACACACACACCCACACAAACATATACATTCCAGACAGACTCAGTTACAAACTGCCGCTAGCACGTGCTGCGTCCTCTCTCCCTCCCTCTCTCTCTCTCTCTCTCTCTCTCTCTCTCTCTCTCTCTCTCTTTATGTGCATGTGTGTGTACACGTATCATAATCCTTTTGTTCTGCAACATTTTTTTTCACTGTGCAATGTTGTTTTATACCCTGAACCCATTGCAAATGGGAAATTAGGGTATAATGGGTTTGTTGAAATGTATGTAACAGACAGAACGAGGCGTGTCAGACCCCATAAAAAGTTATCGAAACCGATAAATAGTTATCTCGTAGCATTCAGCTTTTGTCATGCAGCTGCCTTCACTCTAGTTTCAAGCAAATATCATTAATATTTTCTCATGTTTCATAGATATCGATAAATAGTGATCGAAACCGATAAATAGTTATCGAAATAGATACATAGTTATCGAAATCTATAAATAGTTATATCGTAGCTCCCTTAACTCAAGTTTCAAGCAAATATGATTAATATTTTTTAGATATCGATAAATAACAGTGTCCTAATCATTCTTCATAGGGATATGCCTTTTATTTGCAAGCAAATTCTGATCAATATTTCTAAAAGTTTTATTAATGCACCTTCCATTGAGTCCCGTAGCATTCAGCTTTTGTCATGCAGCTGATTTAAGTACATCTTTGTGGATTTATAAATACTTTAAAACATTTCCGTTTTTTATTATAATTCACTCACCCTTAAATTTGTAAAAGGCGTATTTCAAATACTAGAGAAGCTATTTCATGCGTGTTTATGCGCGGGTGCCTATATGTGTCTGTGTGTGTTTCTTATGCGAGCAGAAAGACGCGAAGAATTATTGATATATCAGTTCCTCGTAGGGTTCAGGGGATTTCGTAGTCGAGCAGCCTCGACTAGAGCTTTT